GGAGGGAATAGCTTTGTATCACCAAACCAAATAGGAAGCCTCCAGGAAACGGTTTGTTCCCAAGTGCAATCTCCAAGTTAGATGTCAGTTGTGACACTGTCTCCTTAAAAAGATGAACAAAGAGACTGGATGTAGTAGAATTTCAAACTTTCAAAAACTCTGTTGGCACACCGATCCATCCTGATGAACATTAGAAATTCCACTACAGCCAGTATCTTTGTTCATCTTTGTAAATCCGTGTATTGAGTAAGCATCTGTCCAGTTTCCCTGAATTGCCCATTGATCATTTGCCCTTCTTTTAAAAAAAGGTAAAAGTACACTGCAAATACTAGGGTGTTACATTTAACACTCCGGTGTTATCAGAGGACTATACCAACACTTTTCAGTGGTGTTAAAATGTTCAGTTTTATTTCAACAATGTTGGTTTTAGTTTTAACACACTTCAATACACTTTAGCACGTGTAGGTGTATAAAGTAACACCAGCGGTGTTAAAGTAACTCCTTATTGTGTGGTTATCTGATAACACCAACAAGTGTTGTTTTTAACACTACAGTTTTTGCAGTGTACTGGTAAGGTATAGGTCCGGTGTTAGCGTAAGCAATCTACATGCTCCATCGCGCTGAGTTTCTCTTTCTAATCTGTGCATCCACCTTCTCCCCAAAGTCGTAGGAGTTGCCGTGCTGCTTGGTTCGTACTCTCTGCCGCTGCACCAGGCGGTGCTGGGCTCGAGCCAAGTCCTCGAAAGCCTTGGAGTCCGTGCCGCCGGCTGGGATGGAGTTGCGCCCTCGGTAAACTTTACACGCGTGGAAGGACTGCAGCGACTTGCTGATGACCCGCAGGTCGGTGGCGGTGACAGTGCTGAGCTTCCGTTGGGCGCGGCCGGCGGGGATTTGGCTCGAGCCTTGGTGCGAGGACGGCGGCTTGGAGCTCTTCTGCGGACTTCCAGGTGTCAGAGGATTCGTTCGTGTGGAGGCACAAGCATCTTTATATGGGATGGACGGCGTGGACGGGAAATCTTTCGCTGTATCTCTAGGGAAGAAAGTCGATTTTACAAGAGAATGGTTCATAACCCCCCGAGAAGTCTTATTGTTGTTTGTGGGAACATCTTCAATTTCTTGCAGCGCATTTGTATCGGTAACGGTTATCTTAGGTGGATTCGCACCATTTTCAATGGGGCGACCGTCGCCCCGTCCATGGTTGCCCTCGGACGGTTCGGTATTCAGTAACTTTTCACTGTCAGCGAAAGGGAGCAACTCAACAGTGATGTTTTCACACCATTTCTGGATCCTCTTCCTTATATCCGAGCTCCCTGTCTGCAGGTTTGCCAGGGTGGATATAGTCAATCGAGGCCGATCCTCGTCGGTATTTTTATCTTCTCCCGCTGCCGAGTTTGATTTCCCAATGGTGTCTGAGTTGATGGCAGGGCATCGATCGCTGGATAACACGCTTGGCAAACCCGAAGAATCTGGTGGTACTTTCTTTGACGAGGAGGTTTTGATCAGCGGCAGTCTGTCAGGGCTTTGACCGGACTCGGAAAATTTCGAGACGGAGGTTTTACGTGTCTTGCCCGGCCTTTTCTCTTCTGGAGTGGCACCTACTTTGGGGATAAGATCGGGGACAATTCCAGAAACCTTCTTGCCGCTGAAGACAGTTGCATCATCACTGCTGCCATCGGACTCACCATCGTCACCGACCCAAGCAAAAGGATCGCGTAGGGTGAAGGCGGGGAAGTGGTCGACTGGGGTGATGGGCTCCGACAGGCGCCTGCCGGGCTCGCTGTTCGGTTTGCGGCTGCCGTCGCCCCGTCCTCGGCGCTGTCCCAGGCTGTGTTTGCGGGTCCTGCCGACCCGAGGGCCCAGCGGACCACGTAGGTCCGCCAGGAAGTCGTGGAGCTCGATTTTCTCCCGATAGTGAGCGAGGAGGCTTGTCTGGAGCTCCTTCTGCAGCTTCTCCGTCTTCTTCTTCAGGTCCGCCTCAGCTTTGAGGCTCGCGGACACCCTAGAGTCCACTTCCTGGAACGAGACGGAGTACGGGTCTTTGGCAAACCTCGAAGTCATACTACAGGGTTGTTCTCAAAAGACTAGGCTGAAATCATGATTCTCATCTCGTGATCTGTTTACCCATGCACCTCTAGATGTCAAGATTTCACGTGTGTTGCCACAAACGAGAGTCTATTGTGAGTGCAGAAGCGAATAGACACAAGTTTGTCCTAGAAAAACTGAACACCGAGCTACACTGACATAATATCCAGTATTCTGCCAGTCTTTCACCAAAATGCACCACGTACTCAGCTGCTCCCGACTTGGCTAATTTTCTTTGTTCTGTCGACCATGAACACGATTCTGCAACAAATCTGGACCTGGCTTAGGGGCGATGGAGATTATAATATAACGGGTTTCGGCAGGTACCGCTATACATCAGGATTACAAGCGCAACGGCAAAATAAATTCTTGTTCCCTTTTATTTTCATTCCATTCCAAAGAATAATTCAAATCCCAGAGTTGGCAACGTTCGCGGAGGGATTTTATAACTTAATTGCTACTATCCTGTTCAATAGACTAGCAATTAGTCAACTCCTCTTTTTTTTCATTTATGACAGATACAAAAAATGAATCGTTTCTGAGACAGTTTGTAGTGGAGAAATTGCATGATAAATACCGATAACAAGTTTATATTTTACTGAGTGCACAATGGAATGACCACAGGAGCTCAATCTTATCCAACAGGAAAACGCGTGTAATCCATGCGCAATCCCGTTGTAATCCCTACCCAAGGTTACATCTGCAATCTCTTTCCCTTTTGCAGATTCGTTCCACCTCGGGGTCCAGTAATGATAATCGCATCGCACATTCTTTATGTTTTTCCTCCTTTTTTCTTACACAAGTGCCTTTTTTAAAACACGATGAACATTGGTATACCGAGGTTTAACAGTTTTCTTGCGAAAAATCAGTGGGCATTTTCTTTTAAAGTTCTTTAAAGCAATAATATTGCTTGAGATGTAGATATGCAGACAATTGATTGGATCGCCACGGAAGAGATTCTATTCGACCACTAGAGGACCAATGAGGCTGTTAGATAAATTTTGTTCCTGGCGTCTAAAAGTATTCAACTATGTCCCAAATATTGTGTGCCTACCTTTCATTCTTTAGAAAAAACATACACATATAAAATTGTTAACTATATAGTTCAGTGGTTGGTAAATAACCCTCCCCTCACCGGGGAATAGGTAGAAGGTTGGGGAGGTGGCTCATTATGTGGAATAAGGCTACGGCAGTGAAGGGACCGCGAATAGTGTACCCTTTCAGATTGGTTTGCGTACATAAAGAATGTGAATTGGTCTGGTTTCCACGAATAATGTTAGTCATGCCTCACAATGCTCTCAGTCCAATTTTGCCGAATGATGGCGCTCTTTCTCAAGAAGCACCAGAGCCGTATTCTCTATGGGTACAGTACACTAATTCAAGCCCCATTGAAAACAGTGTAAAATCACCATTCTTCAGAGCTCAATAACATGCAAGCCAACATCCCTGGGGTGTCTCACACAAAAATTTAATTACTATTCGGTCATTAATCTTTCAGTTTCTTTTCAATTTTCGGGGGATTAACCAATTACATCTTTAATTATTCACCCAAAATAAAAGGTTCCAAAGTTAGTACGCAGCCATTTTTCAAATGGCAACCCTCTACTTTCTCGGTCCTTTGGGAAATTTTTGAACCGTATTTTTTACCCCTTCTGCCCTCAAATGGAAGCTCAAAGAACCAGGGACTTGATCCTGGCAAAGATTTACACGATCTCACCATTTTGAGGGCCAAATAATCCTTTCAAAAGATGCTGCAGGCGCACTTTTAATGCTAATGAGCTTGGCAGAAATTATTGCTTGAATTAGTGGACTGCACCCCTATACGGTTCTGAGAAGTACCAATTACATGTACTCTTCCATAGCTTATTATATAGCAAGTCCCAAGCAGAGCTAAAAACTTGCGCACAATCTAGTTAAGTCAGACAGTAGGCACCATGTAAAGGGGCCAAATCTGAGAGAACAAAGATAACTATGTGGAATAATGATCCCAATCCGTCTGGCAGTCCTTAGTTGAGGAGAATTCCCCTATTGTAACAGAAACCTTGCCCCTCTTCTAGTGCCAAAAATGGTAAATTTGCAGGGGCGCCGGCGGATCCGGGAATAGGGGTGGGGGGCTTAGGGAGGGGTTCAGGAAAGTTTTGTTCGGACGGGGGGTAGTACATAATTATAAGTTGTCGCTATTGGTGGAAGCAGCCACGGCTGATTTCCCAATTCGTGTTTGATATCTTATTTTCTCTCTGTCCTCACGGTAATACGAGGACTAAGTGGCGGGGTGTCATTGTAAGAAACTGAGACTGCGACGTTTACAAACCTTAATTTTGGGCTGTTACACTAGCTACGAGTTATAAGACTGAGTAAACTTCAAGCAGTTGGGTCCTAGATTCAAACAATGTGAGGCTTTTCTTTGGATTATCCAACCATCGCAGCTAGTGGACAATATTACTGCTGATGAGCAGGAGGGTTGCACAGGAATGGGCCTTGAGTGGAAGGCCGTGTTCCGCCGCTTCTGCCTTACTCCCTCCAGGCTCCATGCCGTACATTCAGGAACAGCGGCGTAAATCTGTGCCGGATATTGGGGGGATGGGGAAGGGAGGGGGATGACATGAAAATTTGAAAAGTGTGGGGGGGGGTTACACAATATAGAGGTCGATGTTTATATTAATGTACGTCTGTAATACGCACTCAGAATAGCATTTTTTTCATTGCTTTTCCTTTTTTGAGTGATATTGAATGCATTTTAGTCGTTAGAAGTCTGCAAAAATTCTTCACAGTCCACTTTAATTTTTTGCTAACCACAAAAAGTGGGGGGGATTCAATAGCCCATCCCCCCCAAAAAAAGTGGGGGATATATATCCCCCCATCCCCAGGATTTAGGCCTATGACTCCTAATAATTTACACCAAGAATATAAAATCAATGTCTATTTGCAACTAGTCACACGTACCAATGCATAGTTCTAATGCAATTTCTTTATTATAAATCCAAAATACGTGTCAATAAAGATATAATTAAATGTATCTCTTGTTAAATATTTTCAAACACATGCATATATGACTTGAGAGATTAATTAGTTGATTTGTGCAATAGTGCAACTTGTGAAAGTAGATCTTTGGTGTAATAATTACAATGGAGAAAAACCCAAAATTGTGTGGAAACTGTGGACCAGTTGTCACCAATACCTTCTTCCCCAGTTTCCACGACACTGTACCATTTACACTGCACCGTGTGTAATGCTGTCATTATAAGTACATGTATATCATAATGGAGAGATCGCCATTCACTGCTCCAAAGTACATTACTATTCCTGCCTGTATGGCAGTGACTATGATAAGAAACAATGACACAATTACAGCTAGCTTCTACATACAGCCATTGCCGCCTGCAGTGATATGGTTAGTGTTTTCTTCACTCTCAAGGGACGCTTTGCTTTGAGGGCAAGGGCGGGTCAAAACCCAATGGGGGGGAGTCGAAACTTTTTATTAGAAGGGGGCCAAACATTTTGGGTTTTTGTACAACCTTATTGGCACTTTTTACAAGCTTTTGGAAAAAAATAATGAAATAGACAAAAACAAACACCTTTGTTATTTTTCCATAAACAAAAATTTGGGCTCTTTCTAAGAGCCATTTTTTTCACCTTTCCACCCCAGATCAGCCCATGTTTAAGGGAATGAAAAAACACATCCAAATTTTAACCGTCAAGAAAGGTTGGCAACATTGGGCCAGTAAGTCAAGAGAAATGATGGTTGTTAGTAGCAGTTTCAAGAAATCAATCAAAATAAAAGCAGAGCAAAGTATTGATTCCTGGGAGCATTTAAGTTGGACACAACATGGTCAGGTTGCTGTGCTCTACTGGCAGGCATGTCCATCACACCACTCACGCTACAGCAAGCCACCATGCAACTCAGTACGTGAGATACAGTTATTTGAACTGACATGACCGTCTTCGACCACTGAAATTACCATATCCATGGGACAACGTGAAAAAACTGTGTGTCATCAATTAGTTCATTTGTACAGCAGACGATATATAAAAGTAGACAGAGTGTAAAAGCCTATCACACACAAACATTTTCACTGCGTACATGTTGTCATTATCCCCAACCCTAGATGTACGAAAATTTATATTGAATTTGGAAGAATTGGGACTAATGAGGTTAAGTAAGTATAATTTCTTTTTACAGAATATAAAATTGCACACAGTGAGAGAATACGAGAAATATGATATGCCATGTCTGTGGGAAGGACGCCTCTTTGGTAGAAGCACGCTGCACACAGTCACAGGCTCATATGCATGTGGAGCACGAAGCACATGACCAATCAAGAGAGAATAGCATAAACTTCAACATTGTTTCCCTGCCGGCCTGTCTCAAGAGTCTGCCCGGCCGGCCCCTCGAGGGAGCATTTCCTGTTTACTTCTGATGTGCGTTCTCACAGGAGAACTTCAACAGCTGGCGTGGATTCTCCTTGACCCACAGCCGCTCGTTGACAACAACATCGCAGATCTGCTTCTGTAAAACAAAATTTAAGAATCAACAACGACTGGTTGGCTGTTAATGGCAACAATAAAAATACAGCATTCAAAAGGCATACAAAATTAAACAATCCTGTTCAAAGGTGTTAGTTTCTTATCATTAACCCTCACCTCTGGTTTGTCCAACAATTTGCAGGAGTCCAGTTCCTCAATTGGGTCATTCTTTTTACACTCAGTCGGGGTCATTTCTATCGTCAGATAGTAGTTCATTCCTTCCACAACCTAATTATCAAAAAGTACTCATAAATATACAGAGGGTCGCATGTTTGGGTTTTTTTGTCCAAATTTTGCATTGTTAGAAAGAGTTCCAATAAGAAAGACCCGGGTACCAGCAGGACAGCTCCACAGAGTGCTTTCACAGTGTGCCTTCATGGGGACAGGCTAAACATTGTTCCTATTTGATTTGCATCCATGAGTTCAATGTTTTGTCATGTTTTGTAATTTCGTTATTAATGAATATGATGAAGATACATATCAAAATCTGCCCTCCATAAAGTATGACATTATCACAAAAACATGATTTAGGAAAAATTCCACAGGCCTATATGGACACTGCTTGAAACCCTGTACAAGAACCCGACGAGACTGATCTGAGGAAAGGTGTTTTCTAAGTGAATACCTCAACAGCCAATTTTCATTGCTAGATTTGACTGTTTAGGACATGTTATTGCTTTCAGATGGCCAGTACGAAACTGCAGGAAAAAAAATTAGTGGCCAATTCAGAAAGAGTTCCATATACAGACAGCACTTGATGCAGGCTTTTTGGAAGGTATAAAAATTTGGGGGGGGGTCAGAGTTTTCCATCCTTAGGTGATCAATTTTTGCAAAGCCACGGCGTGGGGTTCGGGGCCCGCCCAAAATTTTGGATTCCAGATGCTGTGTGGTGCAATCTTGGGGACTTTCCGGGCCACTTGCTTCTGTAATTTGGCCCCAAAGCTGCTAGCATTTACAAAGTGAAATAATGACAAGAAATTCAGTAAAATTGTAGAGCCAATATACGCGTACGAACTGTACCAAAAAACTTGTTTCATTTGTGTTGCATATACAACAGTACTGTTTGGTTGGCCTCTCACATTTTGAGCTACCACATTAAGCAAAAGGAATCCAGACTACATGTACTTCATGATTATGCATGTGACCTTTGGCCAGTATTTATTTTCATGACAGTTAAACTAATTTAACATTGATTCCACAGCAATAACCTAAGAAAAAAATGCTAGTTTGCTAGTCTTATTTGTGTATGAGAAACAAAAGGCTGGGATCATCCTAGCTGGGAATGCCATTTGTTCCTATGGGTTAAGGTTTGTCATTTATACCAAATTCTGGAGGGTTTGAGTCACATATCGGTAGCCAGAAACCATCAGACCAATTTGCTGCAAATTCACACAACAGTACAATTCAGGTAGACTTCTTCATGTAATAGACTACAGTACCTAGAGGTCTGCCTCTGAAAACTTGCCAAATAAACTCTTTCTGTGATCTGATCTGTGGGTAAATTCACTCGAACTTCTATTAAACTCAGCTTGTCTGCAGTGTCTTTGTGGATGTGTAACACCATGAAGTGATTGAGTCACTTGTGTCATAGTAGCTGGCAAGTAAGACTTAATCCTGCGCAGTGCACTGTATGATCTTTCAATACGGACACACCATGACTGACTCAAAAAGGGCGATCTAAAGTTCACTGTTCTTGCGCTCGAACTGCAGAAACGTGACCCGCAAGAACATTGTGTCATCATGACGCCGGATAAGAACACACAACCCCTAGTATGTGCCGCGGCGCAACCACCTACCAGTACTAGGCCACCAGTCAGGGGTTGCCACGTTGGAGTGAGCATGGAGGAAGGAATAGACAGGAGTTTGAACGGCCCGCCAAGCCCCAACAGGATATTTACTGACCAATTAGTCTCCCTCACTGACCAATATTCCATCCTCCGTGGAGTGAGCTACTCGTGTTATCCCAGGGCGCAAGCAGGGACTATGCGTATACTGACTCCAGATAATGCGCACGCATCCTATCAAGCTACTAGGAGTAGCCGCTCGAATGTACCATGGGTTTACAACATTTACAAGAACAAGACGTAATTCGACATGATGTCCAAGACGAGAAAAGATGGCAGATGATCAAGACAAAACAAGCAAAGTCAGCATATTTAGTGTGCCTTTCCAAGCATTTTGAAAACTAGCCTTTTCTGAACAAACTTAGAAAAGATGCTGTGTAAATATCAGGTTTTTATTCTTTTGCGTCTCAAAAAAGTGGGGGGCCCATGCCCCCCCTCCCCGGTTCTGGCAGCCATGCTTGATGCCCCAGTGCATAAACCTATGAGGCTTGTCAGAAAAAAAAAAATTCTATAAAGTAAAATGCTTCGGAATTTTCTCAGCAAAATTTCAGTTATTAGGACATGCTAGTCACTTTAGGCCTACTGATTTAGAGCCTAACATTTTCACAGAAAATTAGTCATGTTAGTGTTGTCTGTATATCATGTATATAGAAAACTCTTTCCTTTAATTCTTTCTTAAGGACAACTTTGTGGATTTTACACCATAATTTCGCACGGACATGACAACTCTGGGCCCCTAGGCCTACAGCCTACAGCAGGCCTACGTGTACCTGTTTTTGCGCTTTGATGACATCTGTCATTCGTCTCACATACAAATCGTTCGACATTTTATTGAGTTCTTCCTCTGCGAAATGGGCCGCCCTGACCACTCCATCTTCGTCAACTCTTGCCGGTTCAGTCTCCCCAACCGAAACCACAGGGTTGACACAATTGACAAGGACTACTCCCAGTCCCACTGTCAGGAAGAGAAAGTGATAAGACATCTCGGCTGCTCGCATGAAAGTTGATCCGATACGGAATGAAATTGACGAGACTACATGTACGTCAGTATGTGGTGTGTGTGCGACTTCGATTAGCGACCAATCTATCCCTGGTGTATATATAAAATTCACGCAATAATCCTGGGAACCATACTCGTGTTTAATTTTTGTTTGTACGTGCTGCTCAAGGTTATCGTATCAGAAGTCAAACAACTTAGTTTCGCGTTTCGCATGGACCTTGAGGATTTTTTTCTCCTCCAGGTCTATGGTGAAACCAATGAGCTTTTGCATTATAATCGGTGCAACTGTTGTAATATGCATGTACAAACTTATTACTTCCTTTTATAGTTCTTACTGTTTCGAGAAATGCACATTTGAAAAAGGGCACTGACTGTTGGCGCAATACACTTTGGCGCGGTTAAGTAACTTTGTCCAAATTTTTGGCAAATATTAAAGTTTTGCCGAACAAGACAGACAGCAGAAAACTCAATTAATTAAAACGTGGTAATTATGGTTGTATGGTACTCGGGTTGAACTGCATTTTGAGAGTGCCTAAACATTTTAATTTTTTCAATATTTTGAGTCGTTTCTAAAACTCTTAAGTGATGGCAATTACAATTTGCACAGTGTATCCAAATTAAAATTTTAATACATAAAATATGAAATGTTCATTTTAAAATGGGGAAGGAAATCTTCTAATACGTATTCTACCCTACTGACACTAACAAAGGCAAATGAAGAGAGAGACACACACAATGATGAATTCAGCTTTGAATTTTTCACTTGCAAGTTTCTCTTTATCTACTGGTATTAAATAAATATTTCAAAAGTGTCCATAGTACATTACCATGAGCAACAGACGTACAATTTCCATGACAATGACAACCAGATGCAGGAGAACCATAATCAAGACTACTTTTATTTGTAGAACCGTTTGTGGGGGATAATATACTCACATTTCACCAAATCGTCTTAACCATTTCATGTTTAAAGCAATATTTTTCAATAAAAACTTTTCACTGCAATTTTTCAGTAAGAGCTTTACTGTGCAGACATGAGAATCTAGCCCAATCACCTTGGAAAATATACTCACTTAGCACGCAACTGAATGCATGTATTATGCCTATGGACTCCACAATAACAGAAGTACAGCGGTTTGGTAAATGGTATTCTCTTGGAAAGGGGCGTGGTTGGGGGGGAGGGATAGACCAAGTACATGTGTTTGAAGCTTTTACAAGGTTGGTTGTGCAAAGCTATTTCCTGGAAGCAACACAATTTCCGACCCTGCTACACAAGGATTGCTATGTCTATTTAGAATCCCATGTATTGATGATGTCACAATTTCCAATTGATCGATCGATGACAGCCCGCCAGTACATCAAAGGTCTGTCAGTTTGCTCTGATCATGACAGTGGTCCGTTGGTGCAGTAGAACATATGAATCAGCTTGCTGAGTACGGGGCCAACATTCCTGCAGTGGACAAATAATTACAAAAACAGTGAATTTTAACTCACTTCTATGCAAAAATTCTGAACATGTGCCTGGTTTAAAGCTACTCACAAACAAATGTCCAAATACCAAGCCCAAATAACTTATTAAAAAAATAGAAAACAATTAACCAAACAGCTGTAACGTACAAATAAAAATAGATTAACTTCCGTGCACACTGAATTAATGAAATATAAAAAAATGACTGATGCATCAAGTAACCTTTGAAGCTTTCCATATTTGATATGAGACAGCAGTTTCTCACGGTCTTTCTCCATAGCACAGGATTCGTATGCTCCAACCAAACTGCATCAAATTAAAGACAAGACAAGGATATTTAAATACACCAGCAACTTTCTCTTTCTATTTGAAAAGGAGACTGACAAAAAGGAGAGCAAGAACACTACTTTAAAGAACTGGCATCAAAAATGAGTCAGAAAAGAACATAATCAGTTGTGAGTTACAGGCTTGCAGGCCCGCTAAAGCAGTAAGCGAAATGAAACACAACTCCAGTGGAAACCCATTTCACTCATGTTGTTCAAGTGCACCTCAGCATGATGTGACACAGAGCAATTGGACAAGATAACCTGTGCTTAAAAGATTCTCTTGTGCCCCTACAGCAAACAGAATTTATGTTTGGGGTTTAAAGGGTAATTCCATAAAGATGGACGGATCTTTTTTGAAGACACGTTCTCGATGGAAGTTATCCTTACTCAGAAGGTGTTGGGTAGCGTCGAGTGATAGCCAAAGCTTTTTCAGCAGTCAGCCCACTGAATTGCAACAGCTGCTTTGCAAAGGTCTCTGTCACTGTTGTGTTCTGTATGAAAAAAAATGACAGGATTAAGACAAAGGAATGCAAACAAGAATCAGTGAGGTAGAAAGACAGGTACATTTACATCAACTAATTACACAAAGAAATTTTATTTTGAGAATTTGTTGTTACTGCAATTATAAATATGAATGCCATTTTAAACTAAAGGACATGAAAAAAAAATTGAAACTGCAAACATGCAGAAACATTTTTGTTTCTTTAAGGTGCCCAACAGATTTTATTCATGGGAAGCCATTTTCCATCTGGTTCCTTCCCTACTAAAAATGGCCGATTCAAACCAAGTGATTTTTCAGTTGGATTTAATTGGAATGAATTGGGCCCAATTGACCATCAATTGGTGCTCAGTTCGTTTCAGTTGGTATGTTTTCTCTCCCATTTGTTTTCCCCCTATCAAGTGGAGATTTCAAATGGGATGCAGTTGGTTTCAATTTGCATTTTTTTCTTTGCTATTTATTTTCCCCAATCAATTGGAATTTCAAATGGGAATCAAATGGTTCCAATTGGTATGCTTTCTCTGTTTCTTTTCTTGATCAATTGGACATTTCAAATGGGACGCAACTGGTTCCAATTGGTTTGTTTTCAGCTTGCTTCCCCCATCAAATGGATTTTTCAAATGGGACTCAATTGGTTTGAATTGGTGTTGAAATGGTTTCAATTGGTTCTTTGTTGGTTACAATTGGATTGTGAATTGGCATTCAAATGGGGTTAATTGGTTTGAAATGGTCCAACTGTGAAAAGGTCCAAATTTACTATTCGAACCAACTTAACCCAACTGCATTCCAATTGATTCCAAGCAAAAGCAATTGGTTTTTGAATTGGTTATTGAATTGGTAGGTGAACAGGATCCAATTGGTAAGTGAATTGGATTCAATGGGTAAGTGAATTGGATCCAATTGGTATGTAAATTGGATCCAATGGGTAACTTGAAGTGAATTGGTCTCAAGAGGTAAATGAATTGGACATTTTCGGTAGGGTTGAATCTACCAGATGTAATGTTATCTGTAAAATGGGGTGGTGCCAGTCTATTTGGGGTTCCAAGCCTCACTTTCAGTTTTTTAATGTGGCTTAGTACAATTAGATATAGCTTATCACAATTTTTACCTTTTTCTGAACAAAAGCCGAAATGAATTTGCACATTTATTTCGTCGCTGTTATTTTTACTCTCCGGCTCCCAAAATAGAAAGTGTTACCTGACTTTCAATTCAAGATGGCAGACACATGAATATAGTCGACTCACTTTATTCTTTACAGATGACTCATACACTTCTGAGAAAGTCATCAGTTTCTGTACTCGGTCCGTCACGCTTGGGTTGCTGGGGAGTTTCTCCAGGTCGTCACGGCAATAGGCCTCCAGGGTCTTGTTCTACAGGTTGAAAGTACAGTGTGAGAACATTGTGTGAGGTAACGGCTGGTTCTACACTAGTTCCTACTGCAGTCTTTGCAAAGTTATGGTTTAAACACTGTCTGCAGCTTTTCTGGAACTTGTATCACATCAAGCTTTCTAGGTCCTTATTCATAATTGCCCAGAGTTGAGATTTGCCAAGCACATTCGCTTGGCTGAACCCGGTTACCAGTCAAAATGATATGCCATGTGCACTGCTCTTGGCTGGCTCTCAGCTCTTTGTTTACTCAGCACGCAATTTTCGTTCAGCAATATTATCTGGCTCAGAAGCTTTTGGATGTTAGGTTTTTTACCAACTCCAATTAAGTCATCCAACTTGAGTTGAGATGAGCCCTCACTGCAAAGTAGAGATGGCTTCGTGGGAAGTTTTTTAACCGGGCTCATGCAGGTGCCTGGTGCTCACACAAAGATCATATCTTCAAAGAGAAACTGGCTGCACGCGCTTAGTGCATTCACTATCAAACGAGCATGCACCTGTGCACTCATGCCGTGAGTTCCCAGCAAGGACAGTCTTTGCCGTGTCAAAACACACACTCTTTTCTTCCTACTCGGAGCAGATGTTCACGTGAGGACAGATCAAGAACCACATTTTTGGGGAAGGAAAATATGTTTTTCAGGTGGACCCAAAAATGTTCAGAATTTCTGTTGCGAAACCTGTTCTGGAGTTTCTGAGGGGTAACACTAAATTTGGAGGCTCTTATAATGCTTTCAGGAAGAGGAGAAATGAAATCACCCCCAAAATTGCCTCTCTCGTTGCACCTTTTAGGGAGACCACAACCCCCCACTGGTCCTGCTTGGATCTGACAAAGTAGCCACATCCCATCGCAATCACATCACAAAAACATTTCAACAAGAGAGAACACCATCTTTTCCATTACAACTACCCTTCAAAAACTTTGTTTCGGGTACTGAGTGTTGTGCAAGACTTGGAGCTTGAACACAGTCATACCGAGTAATGCCCTTGAAGGTATCTAGTCATGATGGTGAGATAGGCGGCTGATTCTTTGATGTCACGAGTGTGTTTTACAAAGAAACCATCGACCACCTGTGCATACAGACAGAAAATGAAACGGATGGGTTAGAAATCATTTACAGCTGAAAACGGTTTGGTGGACTGCATGATGATGCACAATGGTATCAGTGTTAGTGTCTATCAACACTAAGTGTGTTCAAAAACTAACAAAAGCCCCCCTCTGTACAGAATCTCCACAGAATGATCACCCATTGATGCTGCCATGGCTGCAAAGCCAAATAAGTCATCAGCTCAGAGAAATCAACATATCAAGAGACCTAGTCAAATTTCAGTCTTGAGTGTCAGCTCTGAAAGGCCAGTGCACAGGGTCACTCAAAATGTGCAGGCATGCACATGTCACAGGGTTGTTTGCAAATGGGCTTAAAAACAAGATAATCACCTTATTACAATAGAGAATTCTACTTTCAATAGGAGCTGTCACACCCCAATGAATATTTGCTATAAATAAAAAGTGTTGTTCCGTTTATAGTCTTAAACACCACTCAAATGGTTGATTTCAATGAAAGACGCCGTTACCAACCTGTGTGTTGATGGTTGCTTGTCTGAGTGTTGAGGCCGGAATGCTCAGATGATCAATTGAGCCAAAGTCCTCAATTAGATAGATGGGTTGGCGCAGACCAGACTGCTTGAGGCGAAACTTAAACAGAATATTGGAAAATCGAATAAGACTGTACTGAAACGTCAAGGTAACTCGCTCAACCACATTGGTGGCTCTGTTTTGATAATTTTAAAAATGAATCTGTAAACTTCGAAAAGAACCGTTGTGCTTGTCTTAAAAGCATTTCTAAGTATGAGGGCTACACAGGGGGCAGAATTACATCAGTGATAACAACCTTACCTTCTGCTCCTTGAATCGGCCGTCTGTTATGCTGCAGCACAGGTCGTCCATCCTCTTTCTCTCCACCACGTAGTCTAGCGCCACCTCCCTGGCAGCGGGCATCTGCAGCATGCCGGGGACGGGCACCCGCTTCTCCCTGGCTATCCAGAGGAAGTCGCCCACCTGGAGCTTCCTCACATCCAGAGTCACGCCGTTCTTCTGCAGTTCGGGCAGGAGCAGCTGCTTTCTGCTTTTTGCCGAGCTGTGTATACATCCGTCCAAGTGACAAAATAGAAAAGTGACCTTGACAAATGGCACAGCAGATATCGAACAAAATAGAGATACACTGTATGTGTTCAATGGGCGATGCTGAAGGTAGCCAGTGCTGTGGAACCTGTCAGCCAATGCCAATGATTGTTTAGGGTAGCCGCCAACACAACGTTGAAACGCAAGAGATGCTAATGCCTCTTGACCCGACTGACTAAAGTAATACTGACTAGCTAATGCATAACCAGTGGCAAGACGCACAGCACAATTAGCAAAACCAAACAACAGAGAGTTTAGAAGAGAGACCACTCAAAAACGATGATGAACAGATGACTTTGAGATTTTGATCTTATTCTCTTCACAAGTGATTTGCAGTAATGAAACGCAGTGAAGCATATACAAAACTTTACAATTCACTGATGGGACTGTGCATCATTGACTCAATGTTGGCAGAGAAATAACCTTCTGATCCCTACAAATTTACCTGGGTTTGAGAAGGTTTTTGCAAATTTCAGGAAATTACAGGCAAGCCAGTATTCCTCACAACAAACTTTTAAGTTCAAATATAAGAAAATGTGCCACTGGTTTCTGCCATGGTGGTGGATTTAGGAATTTGGAGGATTCAGATAGGCTCCAAGTAAAAAAAAAGCCAAGGGAGGAATGAAGGCTAACGACCTCACATGAACAGGCAGGGCCTCTTAAACCCTGAAAGAGCTGGTGGGAAGGATCCTCAACAAAAATCTTTATCAATCGTCTCCAATAACGTTGAAAAGCTCCCCTTCATGCCGAACTTCCTGGCAGTTTTTGCCAGTAACACCTAATGATCGTTTTGGGCACAAGTTCATAAAAACCAGACATGCCATTCTCGTGAAATGCCATTTTTTCTCAGACTGGCCCAAAATGTTAACTTTTTAATGTGCTCAATTCACACAATCTGATACAGACTGCCAACCAGATGTATAAGTTGACCGTAACAACAAAACCCTAAGTCCGACTGAATAAAAAACTTCAGAAATCTATTGTACTTATAATTAACGTCTTTAAATGTATGCCCAGCTTCAAAAAAGATCTGGTACGGGGAAGTCAAGGTCTTGGGGAGGGCGGATTCTGCTGTGGCTGTTTTAGGGCGTGCAAAAAAACAAAAACAAAACCGAGACAAAGAATTGGAGAGGTTAGTCATTATATGCTTACAGGTCTTGTGGCATTACACACTATTTCAATACGTTGTATTGTGTAATTAAGTGGCTTACCCTCCTGCAGTTTCGCAGTTGTCAACGCACAGCACAATGTCAAAGGTACCCGGCTGCAGCACATACAGAGGTACAGGGGGTTCCTTCGAGCTTGCCAAGTTCCTGCCGTCACTGTCTTGACTGTTTGAGCCTTGCAAAGATCCTGCTCTGTCCAATAAACTTGATATGGACGACAAGGTAGAGGTACAGCTGGTTTGTGAGTTGAGTTCACTGGACTCAGAGTTTCTAAGCGCACTGTTCACAATGTCCGTGGCGAGATTCAGTTTGTCAGATGACGACGTTGGGATCAGGTCAGGTGACGCTCGGTAACACTGGCTATCGGATTTTGTTGTGGGGTAGCTACTTGACATCGAGACAGAGGAGGCAGTGCTGAGCAGAGAATCTGCTTGTTTGTCCTTGCGGGCTGGCCGTTGTGTCTTCTTTTTTGGTGGGCCAGTGGGATTCGACAAGGAGGACGGAAGGCTTGGAAGGGGGTCATCATGCCTTAAACTTGATACGGCTTCAGGAAACAGGAACACAGTAAACAATTACAGTTGGTTCTCACCACACTCTCGGAGATTTTGCTTTTGTGAGACGCACACTTCAGTCCATTTTGAACTGTTTACCATAAGTAACCAAAGTGTATTACTTTAATAAGGCCAAACTCATCAGAGCTACAGTTGCACACCATTAAGCAAAGCATGCACAGCAGAAATCAAGAGGACTAGTCAAATGCTTCAGCTACAGAAGAACAAAGCTCATCAGTATGTCAAAATGAGTAATACACTTATGTGAAGGACTCCACATGCTCTTTATAAAAGGTATGGAAACTGATTGACCTACATACGTACAAAAACTTTAGGACTCATATTGTGGGAACTTGTCAGATATTCAACAATGTAATGGAATGTTTGAGTGCAAATGGAAAACAGTGCTCCCATTTGCGATCAGGAAAAGAAAACAAGAGCATGCCTCTGGAATAAAAATGAATGTGTACCCCAGCTGGTAGATGAAGCTGGAACGGAACAATATTCAGCGGCGTCATCATTGTGCAGATAGGCAAAGATCATGCCTCCCTCTACTTGCATTGTGTAGTCGCGCTTGTATCGCACTCCTGACCTCTTCAGCGCAGCCTCGTTGGCTTTGATGAGAAACCCGATGGATATTTCGTCTGGTCGGAAAGACAAAAGATGAAGCGTGAGCAAGAACAGTTGCTGCACTTTTGGTGCAGGCATTTTCAGCCCAGCAGGAAACTTCCAAATCATGTCTATAAATTGGAACTATGCAGTAACCTAACAGCACACTATTTCTAATCTTTCAATGACTATCAGGCCCTGTGTAATGTAACAAAGAGCTGAAATCGATAAAAGGGTCCTGCAGATTAATCCCAAACCTCCAAGTGGATTTTTAAATTAGTTTTGGAATTTTTGGCCCTGCCCGACATGTAGTAAAACACTGTATACTCAGTGTTTACCCCAAAGGCTTGGGAAAAAAAACACAAGCATACTCACAATTAATTAACATCTACCCGGTACAAATCTATCCTTAGAAATAGTGGATTTTGAAAGATATGTGGGGTTAAAGTTACCGATTAATGATTTATTCCCTGAACTCCCATAGTTGATATAAAGTCTAGATGTGGCTCGGTGTACAATCATTCATATCATAGAAGTACATGTAGTAAAATCCAAACACTTTTCAGTTTTAGCTTGTGTTTAGCTGCAAACACACTGTCTTTTCTTATTTCTGCTCTCATGGTCATCATTATTGACTCATCATTTCACTATTATCATCAAACGATATAAAGAAAGCAACTCATCACAATGCCACTGTAAATCTTCCGATCTTCTGAGCTGTCTATCCGGAGATTCTATATCAAAGAACATACGCACCATCAACGGAAACGGCAGCGTCATCCTTAGCAACCACCTGGTTGCCGTGGTCATCGACGTACCAGTACTCCAACTTATCACCCTGTGTGGGTAGGGGTGCGTCATGGTATGTGGCAAGGGAGGTGGCATTAGGTGGTGGTGCAGTGGTGGGGAGATTGGTGTTAGATCTGTTAAACACAGAATAAAATTGAAATTTTTCAAGATTGGCCTTTATAAAATATACACGTCAAAAACTACTCTTTTGGGGTAAACTTCATAAAAACATTACAACAGTGTCAAAAACTGACACGAAATTTAAGCATGTGCACTCGAATTTTATGCATGTGAACTCGTGTGTTAATTTGTGGAAATGAAAATCACAGAACTGTAAACTGTCGGCATGAGGTGTGCCCATAAGTACCACTTTGTGTCAATTTGTGATATTGGTGACAATGTCAGACAAAAGCCTTTAGAAGCAATTGCTGCCATCAAGCATTTTTTCCCAAAGACAATGAGGGGCATGCGGCCTAGTGGTTAGTAGCTTCCAATCATAGGATTGGGGGCTCAAATCCAGCTGCTGGCAATATGTTGAGATTTTGGGCATTTCGCTTTACGCCTACTGCCTCTCTCCGTCCAGGGGTGCCTGTGAAGGATATAAGGTTATTATGTTTAGCTGTTTTCTGCCTGATATGGCAGCATTGGGCTTGTATACTCCCCAAGGAGTTGAGATGGTCTATGCAATTTTTGTACGTTGGAGCCTAATGAGCAGGGATAATGTGCACCTGATAAATGCTTTGATATCATTATTATTATTCCAACATAACACGGTATAGAAGCAACTACGTAAATCTGGAAAACAATTAGACAGCAGGGTTGGCGACTTTTAAGAACAAGAGCAAGTTCAGAGAATCCAGTAACCTTGGTGCCTCTTTTCTCTTCTTTGATTGACCGGCTGAAGCAGTGGGCTGGACTGTAGAACTTCTACCACTTGTGTGCTGTCTAAATTGTGCCTCCACCAATTCCAGCTTGCGAGCCAGTTGGCATCCGCCATCAGTGATGCTGTACCTAAACCCAAATGAAAGTGAAATCCTAACAATTGGCAGAGGGAGGGTCTTGTAAACTGCGAAAGTTTGAAAGTATAATGAGGAGTACATTGTATGTGTAACAATTGTTCCTGAACTACTAAGGCACTTCCAACCACGTTGGACTCATAAGTGTTTCAGGAATACATGTACGTCTTGAGAGGTGAGTTGCGACTACGCATTGGACTCCTGTACTAATGACGCCACACTCTGTTTACATGTGTGCTTTCTCGTGATGCCTGGGCCCCCACAGGCTCCATAGGAAAGTGCACATGTGAACAAAGTTTGACGTCATCAGTATATAAGCCTATTACTCTACACAACATACACTTTCTGTGCTACATATGAATGAGCTAAGCAGAAAAGAACACCAACAACAAGTGCAAAGTCGGCCAATTAGCCAATGTGGTAATCAGTTGAGCATGCAAAAACATGACACAGTCACTTATGAACTGGAAAGTTGCCAAAAAGGGGAGCAACTGCCAATGCAGATTGGTCAAGAAAGGTGTGATGTCATAATCATTCATGTGCCTGTGTGTATTTTAATCTGTCTTCCTCTTGAGATGAAAGTCTTTGCCTATTTCCACTTACCTGGCTGGGCTGCCTTCCTTGGAGACGTAGCCTTTGGTTATCATGGTGCTCATGGATGACCATGCAGTGTAGTGAGACCCAGGATCCGGCTGGACAAAGACGAAAACAAAGTAGAGAGCTTCTAAGACTGCCAAGTAATATGGCGTGGGACATGGAATTTTTCCACATCAAAGGAAGCATTGCACTTCAGACAAACTGAGGGTGCCATGCATTCTCTGGGGGGAAAATATTTTTTCCTTACACTGCCATGGGTCCAAAAGATAAAGCCTATGACTCATCCAACAAGATTAGGCCTATATCATTGCAGTGTAACCTTGGACTTCTGTGAGTCCTTTTAACAACCAGAAAAAAAATGTGTTGACCATGATAAGAAATACTCTTTTATTCTTTAACTTGTGTCATTGCAACATCTTGCTAGACACTTGTGCGCAAAGAAAATAATCTATCGCATGAATATGTCAAGCAAGCTCTGACTACCAGAAAATTTCAGTCTCTTTGTTGAAGAAGGCACCGTGCAAAACATTCTAAGTAATGTGAGCACCTCGATATGACTCAACTGTTAACCTGAGCACGCTCCCGTATTAACACAAACTCAAGAATACTTTCCTAGAATCACTTCTGATTTTTTTTAAAAACACTCGGTGCTCTCTCTGGGGACTTAACCTGGAGTAGGATACACCACTGGCCAGTCCTTCCTGGAGAACAATAAACTTTTCCCAACTTGGGAAATCGTGCAAAGAAATATTTAACAAGAGGTACCGCCTTACTAATGTGAAGGATTTCTCGCTTAATGGCTGGGCTTCTCTCTGCAGTTCATTCTTCAGCATGAAGCCTCTACTTGTAGGCTTCTGAAATACAATAATTCAACATCAGATCTTCAGCTCCTTGTAGTGACATATTCACATGAAAATTTATCACTTTTGGCAATTACAGTATTTTCGTGGTAAAAATCATCCGCACAAGATTGAACTTACATTTTATACGCCTTCTTATATTTCTGAACGCTTTTTTCCAACAATATTATCAAATTTTGGAAAAAGGTTTTTTTTTTCAACAATTCTTATTGCAAAAACTTAAGTCCCACAGAGGTTTAAATCAAACACAAATCGGCAGTCGTTTGTTTTTTTTTGTCAATATCTGACTCATATCCACAGAGTGGGTTCAATAATTTGGCTAAAGTTTCAGTCACCTAAAGCAAACTTTAGAGATGAGTCTCCTCAAAAACAAGTCAGATAAAATACACGACAGCAACTTGCCAACTTTCACGTCCTGTTAGCATCAGTCACGATAAAGTGTTTCCATATGATCGTGTATCGTTGGAAACTGATCGGCGATGCTCTCGTCGATATGGATACCAGGATTTTAATTTAGAGTACATTTAGTTTAGACAAACCTTATACTCCCGGTACAGTGTAAGGATCAGAGCATATGGACCCGATCTGTAGATCGGCACGTACTCCCTTGGGCCTCGATTTGACAGACGCCTCTTTCTCTGCAAATAAGGTGGAATTGTTTGAGTGGGGCAATTCTTATTTTTGCTTTTAGAGTTAGCATCTTCTCGTCAAAAGGTTAGAGATGAACTAGACTGTAAAACTGAAGTGGACACCTTGAGACAAAGTGTGGGTTTTGCCAACAAGGTGCTGGTTGATCAAACCCACTGTCAAGACATGAATACAGAGGGGGGTTCCCCACTTTGCTCACCGTTTTGTCCCCTTGGGCACTGTCGTCTGGGAGTGGGGGAACTACAAGCAGGTCATCACTTCTCCACGATGCAGGAGGAGGAGGAGATGACACTGAATTTCTTGCACCATTGCAAGGAATGTCAGAGGAAGATGATGACAGCTCTCCTGGCAAAGATAGAGAGACCTTCCCAAAAATCATTTATGGTCAGAGGTCTACTATTATTTTTAAGATAACAGGCCAAAAATCTGTTGACCTACTTGTATAATCATAAAGCTCATTCTTGACATTCATGAAAAGATTCACATCACTTCAAATGGGTTTTACATTCCTGTGAAAAAAACCAGGACACATACCATAATTTTTGGTTACAAATTTCCACAGGATGGCTCTTGGCTATGATAATTTCAGCTTAGAATTTTGCCAGCCAGCACCAATTACCCTGCTTAGGTTTTTCACCTGGGGTGCAGTAATTGTCAAGATACAAAAAGTAGATTGCACATGTCTCACCATTTTCCTCAACATGTTTGGCCAGCTTATGATCCAGCATGTTGCAGATCTTGTCTCCAAAGTGATCCAGTATCTTGGCTTCCTTTCCCGTCTTCAGCTCCATGGGGTACTTCTTGAGTGCTTGGAGTGCCTGAAAAGTCACGTCACATGTATAAGTTAACAAATCCCCAAAATGGTCCCTGGTCAATGTAGCCTATCAGGATAGTATTTATCTCTGGTTTCCTTTAATAGCATGAAACAACTCCAGATTTGAAACTTGATTAAAGGAAAAATATGCCAAACAAAAAAATCAGGCAAACCTCATTCGCATTTAATTAAATATTTTTCAAGAACTTCACAATCCCAACATTCTGCACCTCAGAGTGAAGCTGAGTGATTTTCTTTTGAAACCTTAGACTGAAATGGGTGCTGTCACTAGAAATAAGGGGCTCCTCTCTAAAACCCATAGTTCCAGCAGTGGTCCTTAAACTGTCTGATGCACCCAGCTTAGGATTAAATGAGATTCCAATGATGATAAGGTTTACTCACATTTAGGAAGAAAAGAGATATTTCCATTTCAAATTGGAATTGCACTTGTCTTCGAGCTCAAAGTTGCCATCTTGTTTAAATAGCAATTTGAACTTTATGTTAATGTCCTGGGAGAAGACGACATCCCAAAAATACATGCCGTGTCAGCACATGCGCACCAACGACTGTTTTCTGAACTATTCACATTTAGACTAGAAGCTACTCGTGACCACATTGAGTTGTACAGTTGTACGTTGCACTACTCAGGAAACAGTCGGCATATGCCGACGCTCATGGCTATATCATATGCATTTTGTGAATGGTCAGCTAGCCAGGCATGCAGCCAGTGAGTTGTGACATCATCTTCAGACACATTAGCATACCAGTTTGAACCGCTGAATAAAAAAGAAGATGGCTACTTTGACTTGAGCTCTAAAACAACAGCGTTTCTGATTTGAAGGGTAAATTTCTCTATTTTTCCCATAGGCCTATACACATATGAGTAAACCTTACTGTCATCATAGGTAAATAGGAATCTCCGATTCTCAATCCTTAGCCAGGCACATTGGCCAGTTTAAGGACCATTTTGGAGGTGAATTCGGAGGATTTTGATTCAGGGTGACTGCAAGCAAAATGTATTTTGAGTGCAATGATTTTATGGAGCAAAAGTATATGGAAGGTAGGCTAGCCCACTTGGACTCTACTATCGCCAGACCACGTCCAAATGTCAAAAAAGGCAATGTGTAACTGTACAGTCACCAGGTCCTAACGTCAAGATGTTGATGTTTTTATTTGTTCCATCGTGTTTGTAAGACTGTGCATGCATTAAGCCCACCAATGACTGCGCCCTTGCCCCGACGGCACGGACGGAGTAGGCCATGGAGGTAGAATGTGATTCTACCTCCATGAGTAGGCCTAGTGACTTTTGAGTTCTCGAACAGTCATGGCACTAGTATGACTAGGTCCAACCATGGAGGAATTACCTTGCCGAAGGCATATTGAGTCTTCTTTCCTTGACTTGCTGCTTCGTCTCTCCACTCAGAAAGCCATTTAACAAACAATGGATTCGGACACGGGTCCACTTTCTTCTTCCTCTTTTTGGGCGCAGGTTCGCTGCTCGCCATTTTTTCGTGTGAAATTTTCGTAGAATGGCGCTCCAAGTCTGATGCCTTGTATGTTCACATTGCTAATGTACGAATCGAGCAGCCGGCCAAGCAGAGCCAGACTAACATGCGTTCAACACGGTACTGCACGCATTAAATGCTAAAACCATGGAGAACCCATCCCTGTTAAAACCAATTAATTTTTGTTTGCCTGCGGTGCCATCTCCACTGATGACCCAATCCATTCTCCCTTTCCGACTTCAAAGTTTTTAGCTCTATTTAAAAACCTATTTTAACAGCAGCTTCTAACTGTATGCTACCGACAGAAAGATGAAAGTATTGTCATTCAAATTGAAATATTAAAAGCCCGTAGGCCTATAAGTAGAGCTAGAGGGCGGCAGTTATCTGCATGCTGCGGGGGCTCCCTTATAACCAGCACACAACCATGGGTAAACGTTTTAGCGGCTTCGTTTCTAGGTGTCGAGGTCCCGGGAAGGGAGCACATGGAATGGTGTGCACAGCCGGTGCACACCACACAGAACTGAATGCAAACTACACGTATTAACCGACGCGATTTCGAAATTCCAAAGGGCACCGCACATAGGGCACAGACTTCGGGAAGTCTTCGGCTGCTCGTGGGGGGGGGTAACTTACGCCACTCAGAAGGGATACCGGTAGTTGCCTGTGGTTTAATTTCCTAAAAATGATTTAGGAATGCATAATGTTACTGATGCTCTCCCCAAGCTATAAACCCTATACACACGACACAGCGAACCAAGAACACGAGTTTCCCCACATTACACAGAATTTGGTTTAGTTCATTCATGTTCATCTAAAGAAAACTTAAGCTAAGGCATTGAAAACACCTGTAAATAGCCATCATTCCAAAAATCTTCCACCCGATAAGCGAGAAATATTCCTGTGTAATATAGTACCAGTACCCATCAGAGACCCCGTGCGAAAACGGGACGGTCTGGGCCGGATGGCTGACGGAGTAGCCACCAAGCCCCCCCCCCCCATTTCTGGCTTACTTCCTTGTCTACAAAACTCGTAAAGTCCACTTTGACGCCATGGCGATGTCCCAAGAAATAGTGGAAGCTTTTTATAGAGATGATTAAGCCTTGTTTTGTGTTTTAGATATTTAAAGATCATTTTATAAATTAGGCTTTCAAAAAGTATTCTGCACATCTCAATCACGTACTCCAGACGCACTTTAATACAAAGTTGGGAAAGGGTAACAACATTAACTAGATTGTAAATGAACTGCTCCAGAATTATGTTTTTACCAGTAACTCAAATGAATCAGAAGTGTACGGCCCGTACAACTGTGCTCAAACTTTTGTGAAGGCTCAGATCCCAATAAACTGCGTGGGGAAAAAATCCAATGGAATGCAGTACTAAAAGTAATGTTTACCAAATTAATACCCTAGAACTCCAATCATTTTTCAGCTTTTAAATGCAATTCCTGTGAATAAGAAAATACTGAGGTTTCAAACTTTAATATACTTGTTACATTAATATAGAAATATATGATTATTATTACATTTTCGTAGACATTTTGACCCGTTTTTATATGAAATACAAAATTTCAATAATGAATCTAAATAACTATAAATGTGTCCATGTCGTAGAATGCAACGTGGACTCCAAAACGCCTGAATGAGGACAAGATAAACTGCACGGTACGCACAATCAGGCTAATGATTCCGTTTGGGGAACTTAAAGTGAAAGTTAGACGGTCGTTTTGGTGGAAGTCGGAGGTGTCCATCTGACGATCAATTTTATGGGAACTGACACTGAGGAGTAGCCAACAAAAACCAGAGTTCTAAGAATTGACCCCTGCATCCTGAAAACTATTGTTAAATTGTTCCCAAACATTGAACTCGCAACTCAGGATTTTGATCAGTGTTTACATGAATATGTGGTTTTCCGACTGGTATCGTTTCCGCTGATCAGACACTTGGCAGTCGGATGTT